TACCTCTTCAAATATAGTTTTTTCCTTCTTTCCTCTTATTCATTTCCTGTGGATCTATTTTTAGATGTGGCTTGGAGCCTCTCAATATATCCTCTATATCTTAACTGTTTTTACCTATATGTTATTTCCTTGTTTTTCTGTGAATATCTCACCACTGTCCTCCATATCACTAATTATTTCTTTGAAGTATGTAACCTAGATTTTGCTCCACCTATTGAGTTGTTAAAATTTCCATCTATAGCTATTAATATGTTATTTTAGTTATAATGCAGAATAGATTTGTAAAAGATAATCATTCTAGGGTTTCTATTCTGAGTCTGAGGAGAAATGTATACTCCAGGATGCATGGATAGAGATAATTTCTTATAATGTATCAATTATCTGACAAGACATAGCTGAGTGGATATGTCATATCTTACCTAATAAAGTCCTCTACTGTTTATTCTTATGATATATTATAAGAATAATATACTTATAATGCTAATAACTTTACTTATTCTTTTTCATTAATGGTCTGAGTTCACAGCTGACTAAGAAGATGAGGTATTTTGTGATTGTTTGAAAAGAACAGCAACAAAACAACTGTATTTTCAAACTAACATATGCAGGACGTTTGGAGTCAGTTTTCATAATTCAGTACATTAAGGAGGGCTGGATGATGAGTACATTTTAAGTATTTCAAATGCAAATATAAGACTTAAATAGTCACTCTGCTGAATTTCTTCCAAACAAATGACTTCAGAACTCATCCAAAACATATAATCCTTTTGTCTAAAAGGGAAAATGTATAGGAAATGCTGAGAGATCAGAAACAGAGATCTTTAATGGAGAATACATGGCATTGTAATATAGTAGGCAGTACGAAAGTCACAATGGTAAACTTCAAGTAAGTTTAAGTTAATGGTTATTTCACATCCGGTGATTAAATGAGGGTGTTTGAAATGGGATAGCTTATGATGAGCTCATGTAATGTATTAATTATTTTTCATCTGACTGATTATCTATGCAAATGTTTTCCTTTCCCCTGAAGAGTATACACACATCTATTAAAAGGGAGCAATAAGCCTTTTAATAAGCCTTCTAATTAATATAACATCTGTACTACCTCTTCAAATATAATATTCCATTACAGAAAGTATAAAATGGGTAATAAGAAAACAGAAATTTCCTCTGGATTCTTACAGACCATCAGAAGTTTTAGCATTTGACATTAATGATTAGCCATTCCTTTAAATAAAATCTCTTTTTGAATCCTGTTTCGATTCCTGTCTTCCTCTTGCCTCTTATTGTTTTCTTTAATCCTCAGCTCTACTCGGTTTGCTGTCTCTTTCATATTCTCATCCAAAGTATTAACCCGTTTTCAGGATTTCAAATATTGTCTCTTTCTGATAGTCAAAATCTACTTCTACAGCTCTGATACCATTTAAAATGTCCTTTCTTTATTTCCAACTGCCTACTAAACACTCATATTTGTCTATTCAATGCGGACTTCTAAATACTATGTTTAAAGTTTATTCCAAAGGAATGTTTATGGAAGACTTAACTATGCCTGGAGCACTGTTCTGAGTGCTGGGCCTATATAAATCATGAAGTATAAGGAGCTCAAAATTAATGGAGGAGAGAGACCCAGAAACGAATAGTTACAGATACAATGCAAAGAGGGCTGGGAAAAGAGAAATGAGCACAATGTGATCTGGTTAATCCCCTAAAATCTCCCCTCCCTACTTCTAATCATTGGAGCTCAAAACACTTTAGTAATCTTTTTTTTTTTTGTGGTACACGGGCCTCTCACTGTTGTGGGCTCTCCCATTGCGGAGCACAGGCTCCGGACGTGCAGGCCCAGCGGCCATGGCTCACGGGCCCAGCCGCTCCACAGCATGTGGGATCTTTCCACACCGGGGCACGAACGCGTATCCCCTGCATCGGCAGGCGGAGTCTCAACCACTGCGCCACCAGGGAAGCCCTCACTTTAGTCATCTTTGACTCACTTTTCCTATATTCCGTATTGTGAAACTAGTTACCAAATCCCATTTGTGATCCTTTCTTCCAAAAATCTCATAGAAATCCCACCCTCTTTTATCCTCTACCCCTTGGTGTCCCCATTGCCACTACTCTGGTCTTGTCTTTTTAATTTCTCATGGATTGTTTCAATATTCCATTAACTAGACTCCCTCTCTAAATCTCTCCTGATACAATCTTTCCAGTATTGGAATGCACTTTCATCATTTCACTGTCTTGCTTAGTGAACCCAGGACTACCACGTAATAGCTATAAACCTTGCCCAAGTTGCTTAACTTCTCTGGACCTCTTTTTCTCATCTGTACAATGGATTATATCTCAAAGTTAAAAAAAAAATGTAAGTTTAAAAAAGAGTGCTTAGCACATAGTAAGTAAATAAATGCGGCTCACTAAATGTAGCTGCTATAATAATAATTGTTACTACTCATTCTCTCTAACTCCTATGACATTTTGCCTCTTACTAAAGTCATAACATTTTTACTTTGTAGTGTTCTGTATACTTTCTCTCTCTCTCTATTTAACCACATGCTCCTTGAAGGCAGGGACTGAATCTTATTTGTCTTCAGGCATGACTTCTGAACCAATTTTTCCTTGGCCTATGATTTGTCACTCAACAGGGTTTAATGGACTCCTGTCTGATTCACAGTTGATGGGGACAAAAAGCCCCAGAGCTCAATTAAAATGATACTTGAAAGATACCTGATATCACTAAAATCTCTGGAATTATATATTACATGGCCCCCAAAGAATTAGCTATTTCAAAAATTATTACAAGGAGCATAATATATCACGTTATATCATATATCATTCACCATCAAAACGTCAGAAGTAGCTTTATTTTATATTACCGTATCTCTTGATGGTGATCTATCTGGAAAAGTAGGCCTTGCTGAACTTTAACACGGATGATAAAGCTCACATTCTAAGAAAATGTTTAAAATATGAATCAGAACCAGGGATGGTGTTGGAGAACTCCTCGGGAGAATGCAGTTAGGGAATCTTTGAGTCTTGACAGTTTGCAAACCCTTTCCTAGCACATAAATGATTTAACAGTAACACAAAGTGGCCAGAGTAAATTATTTCCATTTCTATCACTGCACAACCTATAATAAGTAACCAGGTAAGATGTTGAATGATTCTATTGTTATGATGCATGCTGATCTGATCTGAGTTTTTTTTTTTTCTTTTTTGTTTTGTTTTGATTTCCAGTGCCTCAGATCCTTGCCAAATCATTAAGCAAGTCACATCCAGCTGAAACTGGCTTGAACAGTCTCAACGCACCTTGCAAAGTCCAGTTCATCAAAACCCTTAGGATCACACAAACAAGGGAAAAATGCCAAGGGGCCTCTCCTATTTGTCTTTCTGGCTATCTGTGCTCCATGGGAAGGAAAGAAAATAACATGAACAGGATTTAAATGCTCTGTTTTGACAGGTTATTAAGATTCCAATCACAGCCTGCCTACTACCCCTGATCAAGCCAAGCTCAGAAACATAGCAGAATATCTCTAAAGCAACTAGGCATACATATAAAATAAAACAGTGCTAGAAAAGGAGGAAGAGTGGAAAGATCAGGTCAACATGAATAATTTGGTAGAGTTGTGGGGTGTTTAAAGACACATGTTAGGGCTTCCCTGGTGGCGCAGTGGTTGAGACTCCGCCTGCCGATGCAGGGGACACGGGTTCGTGCCCTGGTCCGGAAAGATCCCACATGCCACAGAGCGGCTAGGCCCGTGAGCCATGGCTGCTGAGCCTACGCATCCAGAGCCTGTGCTCCGCAACGGGAGAGGCCACAACAGTGAGAGGCCTGCGTACCGCCAAAAAATTGAAAAAAAAAGTTAAAGACACACGCTAGCATGGGAAGGTATATCAGTGTAGTTGACTGGCACACAATTTCCTACACAGAATTTAGATGCTGGTGGCTCAAGTGTTGTCAATCTCATTTTGTTCTACTACATAATCAATAGTTCCAATGGAGACATCCATGGGAGGCCAGGTTCTTATCCTCTGAAATTAGAGCCCACCCTCTGCATGAGATTTTCTACCACGGGGCCAGCTCTGATACTGGCGGTGGGGCACCAACTCTGAGTTCTCTGAGAGCCTTTATAAATATTCTTCTGATGACACAAATTTCACTGTGATGGGCAACAGGCTTGGGTCCTTGTTTCACACCCTTCTCCAAGGATGAATTGTAATAAAACATGAAGGCTTCTATGGTGAGGGACACTGGGGAATCACGGGTGCATATAGTACTAAGGAGATTTTGAGTATAGGAGACAGAACACTCTGACACTCTGAAACTATATAGACTGAATGATGTAAAAAATGACTACCTTTGGTATAGAGCAAGAATTGGCCAAACTACAGCCTATGTGCCAAATATGGCTTACTGTCAGTTTTTGTAAATGACGTTTTATGGAATGTAGCCATGCCCACCCAATCATTTACATATTATCTATGGCTGTCAGAATTGTGTGGTTGCAATAGAGACTGTTTGGTCCCCAAGCTTAACCTACTGGCCATCTGTCTACAGAAACAGTTTGCCGACTCCTGATACAGAGTAACTGAGCAAAATTACTTAGGCTCAGTTCTCTGTAAATCATGTTTATTCTGGTGAGAAATAACATGCATGTAGATGAAAATCTGTCAGGTCTGAGAGAATAGGTCATGTAGCAACAACACCCTCCAGGAAGGCACTCATTGGTATGCCTGTTATGAGGAGAAGTATGTATTGTGGAAAGAGTATCAACTTTGAACCTGGATTTGACCCATATTTCTGGCATTTATTGGGCCTAATAAGCCTTGCCTTACAGGGTTATTGTCAGGATTAAATGCTATGGCCTGTGTGACAACACTTAGTACTCACTAAACTGCTGTGTTTCTTCTTTCCAGTCTCTGTGTCTTCATGGTTGCTGGCACAGATCTGAACATATATAGGCATCTTACCTTGACACATTTTAAATAAGTAGTGGCACCTGCCTGGAATCACATCCTGACTCTCACTGGTGCTTTTCCTTTGGTTGATGAAGAGCCTCTAAATCCCTTAGGAATATACCATTGTGATGTCTTTGATAGTCTTCAAAACCTTTGCCTCCTTTATAGAACCTAGAAAACACAGAAAAGAACTCCAGATATTGATACAAAAGCGAAGTAGAAATTATTTGTTCCTTATTAAGTATGGGTTAAAATATCGATCCAGTACTCATAATGACAGGTTATTATCAGTGTTGTTCACATGATTAGATCAATATCTACCATCAAAAACACTTAAAATTACTACTTTGGTGTCAACATCACCCATAATGATCAAAGTATATTAGTCAATATTAATAACTGCAAATGAAGTCAACAATTGCAGACATTGTCCAAAGTAACTTGATGTACATTCAATAAAAAGTTTTGTTTGTTGAAAATATAAAAATATACCTTATATTGAAAACAGCCTACTAATATTAATGCTATATTATTATTAAACAATAATAGGAAATATTCATCAAGCATTTTCTGAATGCCAGGCACAGTAACAGACTGTACATGCATCATCTTATTTCATCCTCACAACAACCTTATGAGAAAGGTAAAATCATCATTCCCATTTTACAAGAAACTCAGACTTAGAGAAGTTAAAATGACAACTAAAATGTATTAAATAGTAATAGCACTTCACTGACAATTTATGTAATTTTTAACTCAGAGCAAGAAGACCTTTAAAAAATATTTGGCATAACAGAAAAATATTTTTGCCCATCAGGCAACTGGATTATGCTTTATTACTTCTACCACCTTGGCACAGGTCCCTATTCAGTCTTCCTCTCTCTTCCCTGTTCTTACACTGCCATTTGTCTAACCCTCATTATCTCACACAAAGATATAGTAAAGTCCCCAAACCCCCTTCATATCACTTCATGCATCACTACCAATCAGTTGTTCCACAGCAGACTTCCAACCTGTTATTCCCTGCCTAAAATTTCTGTGGATTTATACTTGGCTCCCTTGAACTTGGGCTCCCAATGGTTTAAACCTTTATTGCTCTGCGGAATCCTACCCTTCAAAATGCCCTATTCCGTGTTTCCTGCAAGCCCTTGTTTCTATTCTGCCAATATCTTAGCTAATCCCATTTCTTCCTCTATCATTTCTGCTTTTTAAAACTCCCTAATACCCAGTTTAAGTTACACGTTCCCTTGTTTCCCCAATTAGAAGTTTTGTATTTTTTATAAATTTCTTTGGTTTATGCTTCTCTTAGTTCACTAATATACAGATAATGGAAGCCAGAATATAATGCTTTACCTCCCCAATAAGTGGAAAGTTCTTCAAAGGTAGAGAATGCCACTTGTTCACTTAATATCTCCCACGCTGCTTAGCAAAGTGCCCTGAAAAAGAATTCAATAAATGTTTTAGAAATCAAACAGGGAAAAAGGCAAAACAAACCAAAAAAGTATGTTTTGAAAAAAACAATCTATCCAGAGGTCTTAAAATGCCTTTTCTCTAATCCTTTGAAATGACTTTTTATGTGCATGTGTATTCTGTTGAGTTCAAATTGCTTCTTGTAAGTTTTCTAGAAAGCCAATTAGGATAATAAGGAGAAAAAGATGGAAGATAGGGTGAATTCAAGAATAGTCTAAGAAATGGTGAGTGAAAGAAAGTTATAATACTGCCCCAGTTCTAGAACAATGGGAACATGTTTATCATGAAGAAAAATTTCCATCAGGCAATAAGCTGGCCACACTTATGTTTTTTACCACACTTATTTTAAAGCAGACCCCAGGAAAACTCATACAGAAAAGCACCACTGTGCTGAGTTAGAGAACTCTGGAAGGAGAGAGGTGGGAATGTTATTTTAACTCAAGTGTCTTTGATTTTGTCATTTATGATTTTTAAAAGAAAACCCTGGTAAGTATAAATGGACTCAAATAAGTAAGTGTAAATGTTTGTGATTTGTACCTATTTTTACAAATAAAACATATCCGGCAATGGCAAATTTGGTGCCCAGTTACGAAAAATTTATTCAGAATATACCATTCCCAATTCCCAATTTAAAAATATTTCCCAATTCCAGGGAAAATATTATTTTAATTATTGTAACTAGTGAAGAAAAATCCATTGCTGGTAAGTCTACATCTTCATGTGGTATTGTAAAATCAGTAATTCACAGAAACAAAGTAAATGGGTATCCTGTAGTAAAGCATATATTAAATAATTCAAGTTGGGAAATTAATAATAGTACTTTAATTTCTAATTGTGATTTTTTTCAATAAGTCCAAAGTATGTTACAATCTTGATGCCCAGCTCTTTACCATCATGGGAGCAGGTGTAAACATTTTCATGTGTACCCTGGATGTTGCATGGGGTTGAATCTACTGTAGTTGTACTTGTTCAGGGATGCCGATCTTCACAAACTTTCGGCAACTGTTATTAGGCATTACAACTTTAACTTTCTTATTTCATCTTTTTTTTAACATTTTATTTTATATTGGAGTATAGTTGATTAGCAATGTTGTGTTAGTTTCAGGTGTACAGCAAAGTGATTCAGTTATACATATACATGTATCTATTCTTTTTCAAATTCTTTTCCCATTTAGGTTGTTATATAGTATTGAGCAGTACAATTAGGACTTGCTTTCTTGGAAGTGACTCTAGGAAGTGCATTGTTGAATGGAAAGGGAGTCAATCAAGATACTTTCCCTTTCAGAAAAGTGGGGTCCAAGAGTTTGAAAGGATTTGGCAAGAGGTATAAGTGGAGTAGAAATTTCTCTTAAAAGGATTAAGTGGTTTTTCCTATATTAGTGTTAGAATATCCAACAGAACAAACATTCTACTTCCTGAAAAATTTCTAAACCACATGGAGCAGAAAATGAATTTTCAATCTAGTTTTTTTTATATGTAAACTATTTGTTGAGTGTCAGTTTTGTTGCTTTGGTCTTTTCTTTTGTGAATTAGAAGTTACTTAGACCATCCTGCAAGCAAGTGTTAAAACACTGTCTCTCCTCCCCAGGGAATGGAGATCAGGCAGTTTTGTTCCTGGAAATTTCTTTATTATCCTCAAGGAAGGGGAAACTAGTTGTATTGTAGAGATTTGGCTGTTCAAGGCTCTATTTCTGATGGTCTTTCTAACTGTCCCTCAAGGACTATTGTGAAAGAAAAGGAGAGAATAGAACCTTTGGAGAGAGGATAAAGGAGTGATATAGCGAGGAAGCAGTGGAGACTAAAATGAAGGAAGAAAGAGAAGCCATCCCAAAGACCCTTAACCAGGAGAATGATTTGAGGGTGGGCTACTGCCCAGGAGCTGCCAGGAAAAGACCATAGAAGGATCCCATAGTGGCACACTGCAACTGCCAGAACTCCCTTAGATCAGAATTTTGTCTTCGAATTGTCCAGTCTCCAGCCTGAACTTGCTGACAAGCCACCTAGCTACCTTGCAAGTGGGTCCAATGCCCACTTGTGCTACAGTCTTTGTTCTGTCATAATTTGCCTACTTTATGAGGACTTCTCTCCACAGTAGCCCCCAGGACACTTTGGACACCCAGAAGGGCAGAGTCGGGGGAAATCCTTGGACTGAGGTATTAGAAATGAACATATTTAGGACTTCCCTGGTGGCACAGTGGTTAAGAATCCATCTGCCAATGCAGGGGACATGGGTTTGATCCCTGGTCTGGGAAGATCCCACATGCCGTGGCGCAACTAAGCCTGTGTACCACAACTACTGAACCTGCACTCTAGAGCCCACGAGCCACAACTACTGAGCCAGCACACCACAACTACTGAAGCCTGCATGCCCTAGAGCCCACGTGCCACAACTACTGAGCCCACACACTGCAACTACTGAAGCCCGCATGCTCTAGGGCATGCGTGATGCAACTACAGAGCCCGGGTGCTGTAACTACTGAAACCCGCATGCCTAGAGCCTGTGCCCTGCAACGAGAGAAGCCACTGCAGTGAGAAGCCCGTGCACTGCAACAAAGAGTAGCCCTTGCTCGCCGCAGTTAGAGAAAGCCTGTGCACAGCAACGAAGACCCAATGCAGCCAAAAAAAGAAAGAAAAAGAAAAGGCTCATTTATTCCTTTAAAAAAAAAAAAAAGGACCTATTCATTAACCTAGTATCCTTTTACTAAATATCATCAATCACCTAAAGAATGAAAAAATATATATAATTGAGTCAGCTAGATCAACAGATTAGTATAGAGAGCCCACAGACAGACTGAAGCAGCTATGGGGACTCGGTGTTTGAAGGAAGTGACTTCACAAATCTTTGAGTGAATGAACAGATTTTTCAGTATATAGTTTTGGACAACTGCCTATCCATAGGAGGCTAAAAATAGATTCTTTACCTAAACATCCACACAAAATATTTTCCAGATGGACTGAAGAACTAAAGAGAAAAACAAACTCAAACTACTAGAGTTACTTCAAGGTAAGGAAGAATTTTAAAATAAGGTCAAACCAGAAAATTTGAAAATCCAAACTTCTATACCAAAAAAAATCTAAAGTTACTAGGTCCATGACAGACTAGAAGATATCTCTACCATAAATAAAAAGATAAAGGCTTGGTACTAGAGTATGTATATAGATATAGAAATAAAAATAGATATAGATACAGATATAGGTATAGGAATAGGTATAGTTATAAGTATACGTATAGGTATAGATCTCCTAAACATCAATGAGTGGGAAAAACAAGCTACCATTAGAAGAATGGCAAAAGGAATGGAGCATCAGCTCACAGAAGAGTAAACCTGCTTGGCTAATAAGTATATTCCAAAATATGCTTTCAGACTTACATGCTGAGAACTATAAAACATTAATAAAGGAAATTAAAGATGATTCAAAGAAATGGAAAGATATCCCATGCTGTTGGATAGGAAGAATTAATATTGTTAAAATGGCAATACCACCCAAAGCAATCTACAGATTTAATGTGATCCCTATCAAATTACCCATGACAGTTTTCACAGAACTAGAACAAATTATCCTAAAATTTATATGGAACCATAAAAGACCCAGAATTGCCAAAGCAATCCTAAGGAAAAAGAACAAAGCAGGAGGCATAACCCTCCCAGACTTCAGACAATACTACAATGCTACAGTAATCAAACCAATGTGGCATTGGCACAAAAACAGACATACAGATCAATGGAACAGAATAGACAGCCCAGAAATAAACCTACACACCTGTGTCAATTAATCTTTGACAAAGGAGGCAAGACTATAAATGGGAAAAAGACAGTCTCTTCAGCAAGTGGTGCTGGGAAAGTTGGACAGCTGCATGTAAATCAGTGAAGTTAGAACACACCCTCACACCATGCACAAAAATAAACTTAAAATGGCTTAGAAACTTTAATATAAGACAAGACACCATAAAACTCCTAGAAGAGATGATAGGCAAAACATTCTTTGACATAAATTGTACCAATGTTTTCTTAAGTCAGTCTCCCCAGGTAATAGAAATTAAAACAAAAATAAACAAAAGGGACCTAATCAAATTTACAAGCTTTTGCACAGCAAAGGAAACCTTAAAAAAAATTAATGAAAAGACAACCTAGGGAATGGGAGAAAATATTTGCAAACAATGCAACCAATAAGGATTTAATTGCCAAAATATACAAACAGCTCATACAATTCAACAGCAAAAAGAAAAAAAACAAACAACCCAATCGAAAAATGGGCAGAAGACCTAAATAGACATTTTTCCAAAGAAGATGTACAATGGCCAATAGGCAAATGAAATGATGCTCAACGTCACTAATTATTAGAGAAATGCGGATCAAAACTACAATGAGGTACCACCTCACACCAGTCAGAATAGCCATCATTAAAAAAGTCTACAAATAACAAACGCTGGAGAGGGTGTGCAGAAAAGGGAACCCTCCTACACTGTTGGTGGGAATGTAATTTGGTTCAGCCACTATGGAAAACAGTATGGAGGCTCCTCAGAAAACTAAAAATAGAATTATCTTATGATCCAGCAATCCTTCTCCTGGGCATATATCCAAACAAAACTATAATTCAAAAAGATACATGCACCCATATGTTCATAGCAGCAGTATTCACAATAGCCAAGACATGGAAACAACCTGAATGTCCACTGACAGATAAATGGATAAAGAAGATATGGTATATATATACAATGGAATATTAGTCATATAAAAAACCAAATAATGCCATTTGCAACAACATGGATGCAACTAGAGATTATCATACTAAGTTAAGTCAGAAAGAGAAAGACAAATACCATATGATTATCCGTTATATGTGGAATCTAAAACGTGGCACAAATAAACCTATCTACAAAACAGAAACAGCCTCACAGGCATAGAGAACACACTTGTGGTTGCCAAGCGGTGGGGTGGGGGGGAAGAGGGGAGGGATGGACTAGGAATCTGGGGTTAATAGATGCAAACTATTACACATAGAATGGATAAACAACAAGTTCCTACTATATAGCACTGGGAACTATATTCAATATCCTGGGATAAACCATAATGGAAAAGAATATAAAACAGAAAGTATATATGTGTATAACTGAGTCACTTTGCTGTATAGCAGAAATTAACACAACATTGTAAATCAATTATACTTCAATAAAAAATAAATTAAAAAGAAGAAAATCTAGTTTATATCAAGCAGGTTTTATCAGAAAAACCAGCCGAACTAATGACCAAGATGGTCACAAAGGCACACACACACAAACACACACAACCGAAATATGGTTTCATTAGTAAAACAATAAAGCAATACCATTTTCATCCATACTGTCAGAAATTTAAATGTCAGACAATACCAAGTGTTGGTAAGAATATGGGAACTTCACGCATCTCTGGTGGGATTGTAAATTGGTACGACCACTTCAGAATGCATATGGCAATACCTAATAAAATTTGGAAATGCACACCCCTATAACAAATTGTTCCGTTTCAGGATATATGAGAGAAACTTTCATATATGTGCAGAAGGAGCCTTATACACATATGTTCATTGAAGCATTGTAATGACTGTAGTATCAAACATTTGAAAATAACCCCAAAATCCATAAAAGGGGGAAATGATATGATGGAATTTTATATTGCAGTAAAAAGAATGAACTATCAAATAGGTAGGTCCAAAATACAATACTGAGTAGTAAAAAAAGCAAAATAATAGAGTATATTACATATATTTAAAAACATACGAGAAAATCTATGTATAGCTTATGGATTTGTGCATAGAAATGTATGTTAAGATATGATAAATGAATCTGAAGCACAGATTTAAAGCAAATTGTAGTAGTTGCCTCTAGACAGTGAGAAGAATAGATTTGGACAGAGGGATGGTGGTTATGGGGACTTTACCTTTATGATTAGCATTTAATTTTTTAATGTGTAATATAAGTGATTGAGATATTATTCTTTGTTCTTTTCTATATTTTGATATTTCTTATCCCAGAGTCTAATATGCTACTTTGAGAGAGGTTTGCATGTGTACAGGAAGAAGACACATGCAGTACAAAGTAAATGTAAAATGCTCTGCTACCAAAACTACTTTATGGCAAAATGTTTTTTTTAAGCTTTCTTTGGAGAACAGTTTTACTCATGTCATTCTGCTATGTGAATAGGAAAATAAAATTAAAGAGACTTTGTTCTGAAGTGGGGCCTTAGAGATCATTATAAAATAACCCTTTCATTTTACAGGTGAGAAAATGAAGGCCCAGAGACCTGCTGAAGGTCATGCAACTTGTTAGTAATGCAGTCAGGATGAGAACTCCTAGATCACACCGGAATGTGATATAAACTATCATCTTTATTCACCCTTCCTCCCCCACCTCCTCCCACACACCCTGATAGAATTCTACTCTACTATTATTCTTGTTAAAATCGGCTTGGTTTTAAATTTATTTATGTATGTCTATTTCCCTCACTAGAACATGAGCTTTTACTCATGGAAGTCCAGGACCACCTCTGATTTATCTTTGTAGTTTTGCACATAGTAGGTGATCTATAAATATGTGTTAAATATTCTACCTGAGTTATTATCTTCATGGTATTGCCAGCTTAATATGAAGGACAATATATTTAAGGGAATTAGGTTTGTTATAGGTTAGGTTTGTTATAACTTAGGTTTGTTATAACTCTAATAATATAGCAAAAGAAGTATTTAATATCGAATCTTCATTTTAGAGATTATTCAATTCAGGGAGCCATAACACCTCTGCCGTGTTTTTCGATATATACATTATAGGAAAGATGTGTCTCAAGCAGCTGAGCTTGCCTTATCACCCTGATGGTGTGTGACTCAATACAGCATAGGCAAGCTTTTCTTAGAGGAGTGACCATGAGTGACCCTCAGTTTTCCCCAGCATCATCTTAATCTTGTATTTCTCAACATCCAGCCCCTGCAGCTGATGCACGTTTAAAAGATTTTCACTCACACTGTTTTGCCAACGTGATAGATTTTATTCACCAGCTGGGATTTTCATGTGTTCTGCAGCTTCCTACAGCTTTTCATTGGCTTGGGTCTCTCTGCTTCTCTCATATTAGTAGTGATTCTGGAATAGTAGAAAAGGGCTCAAATTCAAGCTTCACAGCAATTTAAATATCACTTTTTATAGTTTTCTCCCTCTCATTTCTACAGCATCCTGTCTACTAATATTAACACCACAGCTTGAGGCAGGTGCAGACCAATTTGCCTTTATGGATTCTTTGACCCCTAAAAGTTCTTTCTCTGTTTCTGAGTCCTTCCAACATGAGCCTGGCATTTGCCCCACAAGCCTGTATCTACTTGTTCCCTATACAAAGGCAAGAAAGAAGAACTAAGGCAACCTATTCCTTTTCCCTTATATCAAATAGACTGTACACATTATAAATGTACACGGATCCCTGCATTTTTTAGTAGTTCAAGTAGGAAATCTACATGTTTAGAGGACACGTGAAGTAGCAGATCGGATTTTTTATTGAATGACAACATCAGGCTCATGGAATGAACTTGATACAAACTTATTGAAATCACTGTGGTTGACATATATGAAAAAACTTGGATTCCTAGTGAGGTCTTTATGGAATCAAAGTTATGTTTTTAACATTGTATAAATATTAATTTTATTGAGGAGATGACCAGAAAATAGTGCTTATTTCCTACTGAAATCAGAGAAAACCGTTAGAAAAGCATTTTGTATTGAATACCTTCCTTTATCTTCTCAGCACCAAATGAATGACTAATTAAATGTTATATGAAAACGTCATAGCAGATGGTCCTTCCCATTAATAAGCATGTAATGAAATAATAAACATGCTGAAGAGAAAGACATGAGAGACTGCATATCAGTTGTGCAGTGAGTAATTTATCTCAGAACTCAGAGGGCAAGCAACGGGAAAGCTGTCATGAGAGTGAACATTGAATCTCCTCCTCTTTCCCTATCCTGCTTGTCACCTATAATTTCCTCAGATGATCTATTCAAATTACTGATTCTTCATTGTGAAGTGTCCCAGAAAAATACTCTACAATCCACACAGATGAATCTAAAAAGGGTAATCTCATTTTTTAATATGTAAGTAAAAGTTATAAGGACAGCTACATGTAAAAGAATGAAATGAGAACATTCTCTAACACCATATACAAAAATAAACTCAAAATGGATTAAATACCTAAATGTAAGACTGGATACTATAGAACTCCTAGAGGAAAACTTAGGCAGAACACTCTTTGCCATAAATTGCAGCAATATTTTTTGGATATGTCTCCTAAAGTAAAGGAAATAAAAGCAAAAACAAACAAATGGGACCTAATTAAACTTAAACACTTTGGCACAACAAAGGAAACCATCGACAGAACAAAAAGACAACCTACTGAATGGGAGAAAATATTTGCAAATGATATGACTGACAAAGGATGAATATCCAACGTATATAAACAGCTCATACAACTCAACATCAAAAAAACAATCTGAACATAAAATGGGTAAAAGAACTGAATAGACATATTTCCAAAGAGGACATGCAGATGGCACACGAAAAGATGTTCAACACCACTAATCATCAGGAAAATGCGAATCAAAACCACAATGAGATACCACCCCACACCTGTCAGAATGGTTATCATAAAAAAGAACATAAATAACAAATGTTGGCGAGGATGTGGAGAAAAGGAAACCCTTGTACCATGTTGGTTGGTGGAAATGTAAATTGGTGCAGTCGCTGTGGAAAACAGTATGGAATTTTCTCAAAAAACTAAAAATGGAACTACCATGTAACCCAGCAATTCCACTCCTGTGTATATCACCCCCAGAAAGAAAAACACTAATTTGAAAAGATACATGCACCCCAATGTTCATAGCAGCATTATTTACAATTGCCAAGATAAGGAAGCAACCTAAATGTCCATCGACAGAGGAATGGATATAGATGATGTAGTACATACATACAACAGAATACTACTCAACCGTAAAAAAGAATGAAATTTCGCCATTTGCAGCCACATGGATGAACGTGGAGGGCATTACGTGAAGTGAAATAAGTCAGAGAAGGACAAGTACTGTATGATATCACTTATATGGGTAATCTAAAAAATACAACAAACTAGTGAGCATAACAACAACAAAAAGCAGTCTCACAGATACAGAGAACAAACTAGTGGTTACCAGTGGGAAGAGGGAAGTGGGGAGGGGCAATATAGTGGTAGGAGAGTAAGAGGTACAAACTATTAGGTATAAAATAAGCTACATGGATATACTGTAAAACATGGGATGGGGAATATAGCCAATATTTTATAATAACTATAAATGGAGTATAACCTTTAAAAATTGTGAATCACTATACTGTACACCTGCAACTTACATAATATTGTACAGCAAGTATACTTCAATAAAAAAGACACATGTGGGCTTCCCTGGTGGTGCATTTTTAAATTAAAAAAGTTAAAAGGGTAATCTCAGTTTTTAATACAAAAGCAAAAGTTATAAGGGAGTAACAAATGGAATCTAGCAATGCAATAATAATGCACTATGACCAAGAGGGTTTATTTCAGGAATAAAAGTATTTTAATATCAGAAAATCTATCAACGTAATTCATTGTCACCAAATCCAAAAGGAAAAACAAAATTACTATATCAGTATGTAGATGTTGAAAGACTTAATACAATTCAAAAGTCAGTCCTAATAAGTCATAAGCAGAAGGAATCTACTTAAGTATGATAAAGTTGGTTTTCCAGAAACCAAAAGAAAATGTCATTTTAAAATAACAGAACTCTAAATCCATTTAAATTAAAATTAGGAACTATTTAGAAAGGTCCATTGACAGTAATTCTTATTTTAACATTGTCTTGGAGATTCTAGTGACTGCAAGGAGGCAGGAAAATAAGTAATATGCATAAGCATTGGGAAAAAACCCCACTAAGACAGGTGTGCTAGATTGTTCTAATATTAACAAGATTACAAAGGGGACTATGTTTTTCAGAAGCCTTTCCCTTTGTGGTTTCGTGCAAGAGTTGGCCAAAATCTAAAGTCACATGAGACTTGGAATGTGGAAGTGGAGTAGTAGCCACTATTTCTTAAGTTCTTTTCAGTCAGATATGATGAAGGACAGATGCAGAGGTGCCCAGTGAATTCCAGTTTGTCATTGTTTTCCTCTACTCCATGTTCAAATCTACCTTCTGGCTGCTAGACCCACTGACCAAAAGTAGCCCCAGGCCCTCCAACAGATGCTTGACTGAAGACTCCAGAAGTGGGAGCCATGCAGAGGTGCAGATTTCCAGAAACTTTTCTGCCACTTTGCTTTCATGTTTCCTCTCTGGCACCTGGATATGTCTAGCTTTCCAGATTTCCATTAACACAGCCTTTAAAAAGGCTGGGTAGTGAGTTTTCTCTAATTCTCCAACTTCCTTTTTTAGATCTTTATTACCAAACATCTCCCACAATTATGTAAGGTCTTGTTCCTATAATTAACCCCCTTTTCATGATACTAGCTTTTCTGCTTCTCTGACTAAATTCTGACTGATAGAATTAATAAAATAATCTGTTAAGGGGGCTGGATACAAGATAAATGCTAAAAACAAGTATTTTCTGTATTTTAGCAATATAGACCTAGGAATAAAAATATAAAAATAATAGTATTTTGTTCACAACACTGAAAAAAGTATAAAGCAACTAGGAATAAAATTACTAGAAAGGCACAGCATTATATGAAGAACACTATACCATCTTACTGAAGGGTATGAAACAAGATTTAAGCAATTGGAAAAACATTTCATGTTCTTGGGTAGGAAAAATAGGTGATAAAGTGGTGATTCTCCCAAATTAATATAAAAGAAAGTATACCTCCAATTAGGATCCTAAGAGAATTTTAAAAAATAGCTCCCATTATTTTAAAATTCATATGTAAGAATAAATATTCTACAATAATTAAGATGAAAAAGAACAGTGTATGTGTGTGGGGTTCTTTACTGTATATAAGAACATATTGTACAGCTTTTGTAATCAAATCAATATGGTATCAGCATGAGAATAGATAAGCTGACAGAATAGAAAATCCTGAAATAGATCATAATATATATGAGAATTTAACATATGAAAAATTTGTAGCTCAATTTGGTGGGGGAACTATATTTTATATAAGCAATAGTGTTTATTAATTCATATATAGATCTAAGAGCATGAAAAAAAATTCAGAAGGATACATAAAGTTGTTATGCAAGTTGTCTAGTGGGTGGATGTGGGACTTAAGGCAGGAGTTGGTGAGAAGAAAGAGACAAAAAGAAAGATAATAAATCAACATGCAAACTTAAAATGTATGATTTCCAGATTCATGTTCTAGAATCATATTTCTAGAATCAGGTTCTTAGAGTGAAAAAAATTTATATTTTAGTGTGATTGTGTGTAAATATATATAGAGAAATGTATGGGAGTGGGGGAAGAGAAGTAACGACGTGTAAGAATCTCTATGGCCTATCAGTGAAGAAAGCAAGTTAAAGATCAATGTGTATAATTTGATTCTATTTAGATAAAAACAGACACACTGTATTAAAGTTTGATCAGAGAAGGAGAACTTCTAGGTGTCGTATAGAATGAGGAATTTATCACAGGGATTTGACCTCATGCGAGGTCAAGGTTGGAGCTGGTTAAGCAGTTTATATATGACTTGCTTCTGTGTCCAGTGTTGGGTCTGAAGTCTTCACGATAGGCAGTTGGAAGGGAAAAATGGGCACGTAGTCGCATGCCATTCCAAGGATAAATTGGAACCTAGGAGGACAAACTGAAACTCAAGTGGCTCTTTCACTTCCTTCAAACCTCCAACTTTGATGACATGGGTGACCTGCTGGAGAAATGATGCCCTTAGTCATGGAGTGGAACATACAGGTGACCTAAGAGCAGGAGAAGCTTAAGGAGGAGATCCTGTGGGAGCTGCAGAATCTGTGGGCTCAGCTGCTACCTGATGCCAACAAGGTGAGAGACCAGATCCACAAAAAATTTGTATAAACTGCTACAGTATCTGACTCTATACCAACCTTCACAATCTAATCATTCCTGCTGCTTCATTTTTGCCTTTCATATCTCA